GTAGTGCCAACTCAGCGACTTTGTCGCTGTTCCTAACGCCTAGTGATGAACCTAGCTACATTTCTGAGGACCCTTAGCTACTTTATTCTAGATATTTCCTGCAAATTAGCAACAAAATAGCCATTTTCGCTTCGAACCATTCTTTGAACGTTGTTTTAGCTGTAATCAAGGATATAAAAATTACAGATACCAAACACATTGGTGGTGGTTTAGCTCACCTAGTTAGATGTTGGACTCTCATGCAGGAGATCCGGGTTTGATTCTGGGTGTGAACATAGTTTATTTAGAGTTTCTTTTTTACATTAATGGTATATTTTTTTTACAGTAAGATGCCCAAATTTTTATTTGAGACTCGCCGAACGGCATTGAATTCACAGATAAAAAAGATGTGGGTTCAACTTTCATTTTGGAACAATTTTTCAAGCAAGGGAAGGGAATGATCTGAGCATGCAGGAGGACTGACCCATCATAAACCTTTGTCGGCTGTGCTGAAGAGAAAGGTACAGAACCACATTATTTAATTCATTAGCTGTGCAATCTCCTGTCCTCTGTCCTCCGGGCCACACACACACACACACACACACACACACACACACACACACACACACACACACACACACACACACACAGGACTGTCTCAGCTGTTATTTTCGTTAGGGAGTGTTCACGTACAGCATTCGCGCCTCATGCACGAGCCTACTATTGAAGCTGCTGTTACGCTTTTGGCCTGAGGGGGCAATCGCGAGCATAAAAATTCAAAACTTTCTACCTGTGTCATTCTATGATGCTGATTCTAGGTCTCAGCTGAGGTCAGACTTAGCTCGTATCATATCCTGCTGTTGTCGTTATTCTAGTTGAAAAATTAGCCAACAGCATAAGTTAGTAAGTCTGTGTGCCATATAGATGGTAATAAGTTACTATATGACCAAAAGACAATGGAAGCACTGTTTCTGTCTTGCTGCTTCGTCGCTGTTTAAACCTACATCTGCAGCTAAGGCACATTATTAGTTGGAGGTAGGTAGGTCACGTGACTGAATCAGACAGTCAAGAACATTCTTCACTTTGGGTCTTTTCTGTTCAAACGACAGTTCATTTAGCAGAGGCTCTCAACATACTCTGCATGTGTGTGCATGTTGATCGTGGTCCCCCTCACACAGCAGCTTAGAGCCTCAGGATCACAGCAGACACCCTCGTGTGTACGAACTAAGCAGATTTTGTACGGTGCGCATGTATGTGTGTGTGTACAATGTATTGATGTTGTTTTACACTTGTGCATACCTATGAATCAGCAGCAAAGGGAAGATTCATCAAGGGTTTTGATGTACATTTAAAGAACAAGGTTTCCATGTCTTGTCTTGTCCTGCGGAGCTTTCAGACGTCGGTTGTGCAGCTCATATATTGGTATGTAGGAGTGAAAACCCACTTTCTGTGCACACTGCTTTAGGAACAGTGTCTCTGGCATGCACCCCCCCTCCAAAATCTACCTTGCAGAAAATTATGGCTGCAGCAGAACATGCTAACTGCAGGAGTGGCTAACACTCAAACACAATAATTCACATTTTCATTTTGATGCACTAATGTGAATTAAATAGATAAAGGAAAAAACATGTTTTTATTATGATGTTCATTGGTGCTTTGTGAAGCTGACTAATATGAATCGAACATAGATAGGCAGAGGAGTTAAGTGCCCGCCCTGTAACTGCAGGGTTGCACCCCGCTAAGTCTGCTGCAGTAGTCCTTGGGCAGGATTCTTCCCCCTCAGCCAAGTGATATAACTGATAAACTCCAGAGTGCAGGTACAAAATAACAATCCCCAGCAAGGAAAGATGAACAAACCACAAGAACTGACAAGGAGGAGTAAACTGGACTGGGTTTGGATACAGGTGCAGTGAAAGACAAGGGACAAAGTGTGCTGACTGCTGATGCTGATGGATTGCAGGCATAACTGGAACTGGAGGAACGGAGGAGGCAGAAGGAGAAACCGGCAACAAGGGAGCGGAAGCTAACACCCAACTAAAAATCAAAATAGTAAAACAGGCTGATGGAGAAATAAAAAATACAATACTAAGAGAAAACATAAGAATAAATGTGGGGATGAATCTCGGGAGAGTGGAGAGTCTAGGATGACCGGGTAATGAGACATGGAGGAAATGATGAGAAGCACGGGGTGGCTGGGACTAGAAATGATCTATGAGTCGAAGGACCTGTAAAAACACAGGAACACACCAGGAGATGGACGGAACATGGAGGAGACTGGGGAGACAGAGAATGAAAGACATGACACAATGCCCACGTGTTCTAATGTTAGGAAAAATCGATGTGGGCTGATGGTGTGAACTCGTACGGATTAGAGTCCATCAGAATACTAAATTATGTTTTTGGCATGCAGATGGCGTCTGTGATCGTTTGAATCTTCTGTAATATTAATTTTGTTTGATGAGAATAATGTGCAGCCCTGTTTATTACCATAATAATTTTAGCTTTTGAGGCTCATCAGCTTTGGGTCACAAACTTTACAAGTTAGATCCATCCAAGTCATTTTTGCAGTAAACAGACACAATGAGTGATTCTCCTTCTGAAGAAGAAATTTGCATAAATACATAAACCTCTAGAAAAACTACAGATCTGTTTTTTATTTCATGTGAACTATGTGTAAATATGATGAAAAGTTGTGAGGGAATGAGTGAGAAAATGTGAAAAATGCCCACAGAATATTAAGAAAGTCAAACAGCATTACAACTCTCACTGAGGAAAATAATCCAAATTTCAGTTTTTTACAGATTTTTTCAGCTTATGAATCTCCAAAAACTTTTAATTGCAGTAATTGAATCTGCAAATGATATGATGTCAAGCTTGTGACAGACAGAATTACAAGCTGAGAGATGTGCTGACAGACGGATAAACCCCAAAAATAAAGGGCAACAAATGCATCTGGCACTCAGACTCTGGAGCGGTGCCATTCTCGTATGCCTACACATGCAAAAAGTGTGTGTGTGTGTGTGTGTGTGTGTGTGTGTGTATGTGTATGTGTGTGTGTGTGTGTGTGTGTGTGTGTGTGTGTGTGTGTGTGTGTGTGTGTGTGTGTGTGTGTAAAGCTGTAAGGCAGATGGGGAAGAAAGGTTTACGTAAGCCTCTCAAATACGTATAAAAACGAGTCCCACTGGTGGAGGCATGCCCTCTTCTCCTCTTTATCTATTCCTTACCCCCCCCCCTTCTTCTCCTTCTTTCCCTACAGTTCATTATGTTGCTCATTTCTCCACTTTTCTCCTCCGTTTAAACTCTCCTTTCAAACCTCATCTTCTTCGTTTTAGACTGCCAAGCAGAACTCTAACCATGTCATCCACAGTTTTCAAAGGAGTGTGTGTGTGTGTTTCTTTCTGCTCCTTTGATGTATACGAGTCTTTAAAATAGTTTTTGATTTTTCTGTGTGTGTGTCAGTTGTGTGACATTAGACAAAACACTTCCATTCTTTTATTCCACCAGAGGTTTAGGTGCAGACTTCTATAAAGTAATAATAAAAAAAAGTTTCTCAGTGAAGGACCTCGTGAAAAGGCTGAAACTTTAGAGAAATGTGAGCATTTTCATTTGAATCAGTTTTGAAGACAAGTCACTTTTGCTCGATTAATGAGCTAACCACTATATCTCTAAATCTTTCGTAGCAGTTTACGTAAACACCATTTTATACACATTTACATACTATCACAATAAATGCTTTGTTTTTGGTTTTTAACATAAAATCCTCAATTTATTAGCAAAAACAGCTAGCTGTGTTAGCATCCATCTGTAACACTGATAGTCCAGTGTTGATAAAGCATAATTAAGTGAAAAGCATGACTGATGGCAGAGGGAAGGCTTCTACAATATAACAACTGTTTGTGTGCCTGTAAAGGTTTTGAGATGAGTATTGCTTTGATTTGGCAGAAATCGCCTTTTGTAAAAAGAGTACTTGAAAGTAGCTGTAAACTTGTCAATCTAATCCTAAATAATCTTTGTTTCTCCAGACTGAGGTTGTTCAAAAAGTTATAAGAAATTGATTCTTGATTATCTTACTAAAGAACTCCATTTAAAACAATCTCACTTTTTCTATGTTTAATACAATGATTCAGCAAAAAGAACATTTGTGTTTGGGAGGTTACCTAACCCAAACCCTTAGGGCGACCCAACCCTAACTCTAATCCAAGGCAAAACCGTTTACAAGTCATCAACATAATCTTGTTTTTCTCAATTAAACAGAAAAGTTTCACCTGTTTGAGTTACTTGCTTCCCCTTTGTAGAAGCTGTGAGGCTTGCAATTGTAAAACTGTTGAGTTGTTTCATTACCACCTTGTCTCGCCTCTGTCAGTGCGCCCCAGGGCAGCTGTGGCTACATCGTGGCTCATTAACATCAGTGTGTGAATGTGTGTGTGAATGGATGAATGATACACTGTAGTGTAAAGCGCTTTGGAGTCCTTACTCTGAGAGGCGCTATACGAGTGCGGGTCATTTATCATTTACCAAGGCAGCGATATGCTTCAATAACGTGACGAGGTTAGCAGCTAATCTCAGTTAATCCCTTGTTTAATCCCTTGTGTTACAACCTGGCTTGATTTTTCTCAGTTTAGTTGCCTCAACCCTCCCCCTCCTCTGAACACAGTTGCACAGGTGAATAACGATCTTCTTATTGAGCTGGGGAACCAGAATCACCTCATACACATGAGAGAAACTCTCTTCAATCTAATTATGCAGCACAATGAAGATTTAAAAAGTTCAGACCAGACTTTTAGATCTTTATCTGACCAAGCCTTCATGGTGTGAACTGGAACTAATTTAATCCAGTTAAGTTTCATCCCACAACCTGCAGGCTTCAAAGGTCCACACATGTCCCCTAAAGGTCCCATGTCCCTGTCATGACAGATCAGATTTGTAACCATCCACATGAAGGTGATCAGACTTTGTTTTTTGTTGCTTTTCTCAATAAAAACATTAAAAACTATCTTAACTTTTTTTTTTTTGCTTTGTAGCTAATCCTATTGACATCCTCAAGGTCCTGGAGCTGTCAGAAGACATGCAGGGTGTCTCGCTGGAAGCAGGACTGTGTACCAGCAGGAAGGGACAAGAGGAGACGGACCTCTCCTTTAAAATCGACAAGAAGATTCAGCTGAGTGTGCCCACAAAGCAGCTCTTCCCTGGTAAGTTCCAGTAAAACCCCCTAAGCCTCGTTGGGCAGAAAACATGCTTAAAGGTGGTTGATGTGTATTTGCCTAATTGTGCACACGTGCTGTCTCTGCAGATTTGCTGTTTCCTGTGAATTTCTCAGTGATGACGACAGTTAAAGCTGTAAAAGGATCTCAGGTGTTCCTCCTCTCCCTGTACGACACACAGGTAGGCACTGGAAATTACACACATATATTTTACAACATTTCTACTTGGTAATTTCTGATGAAGCATCTCCGCGTCTGTCTGTGTGTGTCTGTGTCTGTGTGTGTGTGTGTGTTTCAGGGCACACAGCAGCTGGGGTTAGAGCTGGCTCGTTCTCCAGTTTTCCTGTACGAGGACCACGAGGGTCAGCCAACTCCAGATCTTTACCCCACCTTTAGAAAGATCAACCTGGCTGATGGCAAGTGGGTAACTACACGGGCACCCATACATGTGTTTGTGTTGCATTTCTTTATTTGCAGCGACTGAGCTCAATAATTAAACTGTCAGAGTTTGCTTGCTTCTCCGTTATTGTCAGTACCCCTAGCTGGCTCTACTAAGACTGTTTCTGTGTTTCCAGGTGGCACAGAGTGGCCTACAGTGTGGAGGGCCAGTCGGTGACTCTTTACTTGGACTGTGAGAAGGTGGACACCCTGGACCTGCCCAGGGGTCACGACCCCCAGGTCAGCACTGACGGTGTGACCGTTTTCGGGACTCGCCTGCTGGAGGATGATGTGTTTGAGGTGAGTTTATTTCCATTCCTATTCAGAAATAGAATCAAATGTAGAAATAGTGAAAATATTTGCACTTATTACATAAAAATACAAAGTGAGTTAAATTAAATTTGTTTGATTTAAGGTAAAAAAAAAGCATCACGTTGGTTTAAAAAGAGGCGTGTCAACGGGGCCTGAAGCTCTGTTGTGAGTTGAAAATTGATCTTGTAAAATAAAAGTTTAAATATTCTATGTATTTATAAGTAGCTAAATAAATTATAATATTGATCCAAACTGATGATAAATGAAACATCTTTTAATCAGTTGTGTTCATCCTTTTTCAGGATATAAAGTTTTATTTATTAACAGTAAAAAGTGATTTATGTCCTGACCTTATTCATTTTCTTTTCTTCCATTTTAGTTCACAAAAAATATTCTGGATTATGTTTTATTTAGATGTTTTGCTTTTAATAAAAATGTCATTTATCAGTGGCCAAGAGCAATCAGAGTCTATTTTCAGCAAAAAACTACACACAAACAATGCTTTAACCAGCTTCATGTTCCACAAATAAAAAAGCTATATCAAACGACCATGACATTTTCCCCTCAAATTACTAAATAATCCTTCAATTTTACATCTTAACTGGCTTAAAAGTGTAACTGGATAAACCCAAACCTTGATAAATCCTTGTTAAAAAGCAGAGGAACTCATCCGTGTTTTATCTTTTTCATTAAATAACACTTTAATGTTATTTTTAAAACTTTTGTCAAATCCTCAAAGTGTTCATACATTTTCATGTCCATATATTTAATTATTTTATTAATCAATAATAAAAACTGTACTGCTTTGCTTCAGCTGAGATGTGTGTGAACATACTTTTATTTATGTAGCAATTGATTAAAAATTTCATAACCTCTTAGATTCTTTTACTCATTTCAATAAGTAAAATATTTGTCTTGCTAATTATTTGATTTAATTGTGAAATGATTATTATTTTATATTATTTGAAATTTCAAAAGCTTTTCTCCCTTTACCTCCCCCTAGTGGTTGTAGGAGTGCTAAACCACCCAGAACCCTTCCGTGCACGTGGGTCTGCACAGACATTTTAACAGACATATTTCTTTTTTTTTTTTTTTTTTGTAATTTTTGGGCTGTTATTTCCAGTTAGGAGGGGGATTTTTCACTGACCTCTTTTGCAAACTGTGACCTTTGTTATGTCAGGTGGATCATCTGTTTAACTAAGCGACTCCTAGCAGTATTTAGCTTGGACTCCGTGTGCGTGCCCACGTAAAACACAGAGAAAAGAAAGAAAAAAGAGCTGTGTCTGACTGCAGAAACCATCTGCTGACGCCACCGGAGACTAAAAAGCTCTGGAGACGATTAACTGCAGAGCAGCGATAAAAGCAGCATGTTGAGTCACTTTGATCTGACTCTGTGGACACAGTTAAGGACAAAGACATGAGAAACACGTGCATCTGTCCCTGTTGTTTATTAAATGAATTCCCTGCTGCACGGCTATGATCAGTAATTCCATGTCGACTTGTGAGACAATATGTTTTCATAATCCAGGGAGAAATCCAGCAGCTGCTGCTGGTCGATGACCCCAGATCGGCTGAGTCGTACTGTCAGGACTACATCCCAGACTGTGATGCACCTTTACCCTACAAGAACATCCTGACAGAGGCTGAGGAGGTGAGTTTATGCTAAAAACTAGCGCACTGATGTTTTAGATTACGTTTTAATCCTGATTCATCAAAACACATTAAAATAGTGGAATCCTGGAAAAAAAAGCTATTTTCTAATAAATCTTCCACAGGAAGCATCACACATTTTAATCCTTAGGAGCTAAACATGTTCAAATTCAGCCAGCTGCACGTTTTTGTACTTAAACTTGTTTTTACTCATTTTTTGTTGACAGGTTCTGGTAAAGGTTTAAAATCTTCATCTGGGTTAAAACTCAACACACACTTTCAATTTGGTTCATGCTTTTATTTTCCTCTAAAACTTTGCCAGAGCTGCAATTCATATCAAGAAGCCACCAGCGGACATGAAACCTGGAAGCTAATTGAGCCATCTCAATGAAACGTGCAACCCTAGGAATGTTTCAGCTGGACCAGAATGATAAAAGCTTCCATGAATGTATTTGCTGGGTGTTTTGCATGTATGGAAAGTCATTTTAAGTCTTAGTTTTAGGCTTTAGATGAGACGTTTTTATGAAAAATGTCCAGCATCACGATCTGTTATTGAAAACTACGAAGCAAGATGGACTAAATTTCTGTTTCAGCTGCAGCTCAGTGCAGATTATGTACTTTAATGACCTCCAGATAATGCTGCAGAGGACAATCTCTGTAATTCCAAGTCGGAAGAAGGAGTCCGAAGTCTGATAAATAAGGCATTTCTTGAGCTTTTTGTCAACTGCCCTCTTCCACTCTGATGGATCTTAGACAGAGAGACCAGCGAGGAAACGCTTGGTGGAACAGTTTGAAGAGTTCGACTACAGTGACCTTTATGATGACCTCTCCATGTCCAACGTGACTGCAGGTCAGAACATGACCGAGTATGAGGTGAGACCCAGGAAGAGGCTTTGTGTCTGGAAACCCTTTCTTATCTCCTCCATCACACGCATGTATGTGTGTGTTTATTCTGGCAGGTTGTGGAGTATGAAGACTATGACAACACAACCAACTACTATCATGTGAAGGAGTATGAATACGAGGAGGAGTACGACGAGCGCTACGGACCCGCAGAAAGAGAACGAGAATTCTCACTTAACACACAGGTGACGTGCAAACTTTAGTTGTTACAACATTCATTTCTTTATAACAATCTTGTTCATTCTTGTTATGGCTCTTTTATTTAAAACAGAATTTACCAGAAAAAGGAGAAAAGGGAGAACCAGGCCTTCTGGGAGCTGTAAGAACAACCACACAAATGCAACGTGTGACGGGAGAAAAAATACTTAAATATCTGCTGAAAACAAACAGTTCATGTAGATAATCAGAATACGTTAAACCCAAAAAATTCATATCTGATCCCAGTTTAACAGGAATACACTAAAAAAACATGTTTTCTTCCTCATTTCCTCACTGACTGAAATAAAAGCAGCTAAAAACAATCAAATTAAGGCCTTATGTCAAAGATTCAGATTTATTTTGGAGTAAAGTTAATCATACTCATTTAATAATGCTTCTAATGTAGCTGCACAGGCATGCGTACATTATTCTGAATATTAACATTGACCTTAAACAGACATGCTAGATTGTCACCGTTTTAACTACGGATCTCGGTTTGTTGATGATTGTTTACAGGGAACACAGATTACAGGACCATATGGGCCTCCTGGACCTGAGGTTAGTCCTCTTTACTGCATAACTTGAAACTTAAGACACATTTCTGTTCAGAAACCTTCCAATCGAAAAGCAGGTTTTCACAACTGTGTGAAAGGTCTTTTAAAAACTGTAGTTTTAATCTGCAGGGAGAACCAGGACCTCCTGGAATCACAGGACCAGTGGGACCTCGAGGAGACCCTGGAGAGCTGGTAAAGCCTGTGTCCTGTCTTCTGAGAGAACTACTGTGTGTGACTGAGGTCTCCTTATAACTGAGCTCACCTCTCTGCTGTCAGGGTCCTCCGGGGAGGCCGGGCCTTAATGGAGCTGATGGGATACCGGGTCCCCCAGGGAACATCATGCTCATACCGGTAACAGAAGCTTATCAGTGTGTTCCCAGAGGCCAGACAAGGTGCTGCTAGTGTGCTGTGAATGTGGTCGTATTAATCTGAAACAAGCCCGAGGGCAAATGTAAAGTTAGAAAGCTGTTGCTGAAAAATGAACTTGCTGAAGGCTGTTTGTGTTTCAGGACATCCAGTACTCAGATTACATTTCTGTATGTCATGACGGGTCTCCACATTTATAAATTACTCAGATTTAATTTTAATTATCTGCTTTAAGGAATTAAACATGTACGAGTTATATTTATGTGGTTTTGATGGTGAGAAAATGAATGTCAGTACAGTGTTTTGGCCACGAGATGGAGTATTGAGTCAGATTTTTCTGGTGTCAGTTCCAGTCGGGTGGAGATCCGAGGACAGGTGCTGTGGTTTCTGCTCAGGAGGCTCAGGCTCAGGCCATCCTGCAGCAGACCAAGGTACACAAGCATCACTGAACACACACAGATGTGGTTTTGTTTACCCTTTTATGTTCCTGTGAATTTTATTTGTTCTTTATTAAAACTTCCTACCATTAGCTGGCGATGAAGGGACCTCCAGGGCCGCTGGGTCTCAGGGGAAGACCTGGACCTCTGGTAAGTCTATGTCGGATAAGAGGCCTCTTTTATTTTAGATGAAGTTACTGATGTAGGATCAGAAATGTGTGCAGATGTGATCATTTAAAATGCAAAAAGCTGTTTGTGCGAGTGGAGTTATTACCTATACAGGTGCTGGCCAGTAAATTAGAATATCATCAAAAGGTTGAAAATATTTCAGTAATTCCATTCAAAACGTGAAACTTGTACATTATATTCATGCAATGCACACAGACCAATGTATTTCCAATGTTCATTACATTTAAATTTGATATTCATAAGTGACAACTAATGAAAACTCCAAATTTGGTATCTCAAAAAATTAGAATATTCTGAAAAGGCTGAATATAGAAGACACCTGCTGCCACTCTAATCAGCTGATTTACTCAAAACACCTGCAAAGGCCTTTAAAAGGTCCCTCAGTCTTGTTTTGAAGGCACCACAATCATGGGGAAGACTTCTGACTTAACAGCTGTCCAAAAGACAATCATTGACACCTTGCACAAGGAGGGCAAGACACAAAAGGTGATTGCTAAAGAAGCTGGCTGTTCGCAGAGCTCTGTGTCCAAGCACATTAACAGACAGGCGAAGGGACGGAAAAAATGTGGTAGAAAAAAGTGTACAAGCTCTAGGGATAACCGCACCCTGCAGAGAATTGTGACGACAAACCCATTCAAAAATGTGGGGGAGATCCACAAAGAGTGGACTGCAGCTGGAGTCAGCGCTTCAAGAACCACCACGAGGAGACTCATGAAAGACATGGGATTCAGGTGTCGCATTCCGTGTGTCAAGCCACTCTTGAACATGAAACAGCGCAAGAAGCGTCTCGCCTGGGCCAAGGACAAAAAGGACTGGACTGATGCTGAGTGGTCCAAAGTTATGTTTTCTGATGAAAGCAAGTTCTGCATTTCCTTTGGAAATCAAGGACCCAGAGTCTGGAGGAAGAGCGGAGAAGCACAGAATCCACGTTGCATGAGGTCCAGTGTAAAGTTTCCACCGTCAGTGATGGTGTGGGGTGCCATGTCATCTGCCGGTGTTGGCCCACTCTGTTTCCTGAGGTCCAGGGTCAATGCAGCCGTCTACCAGGAAGTTTTAGAGCACTTCATGCTTCCTGCTGCTGACCAACTTTATGGGGATGCAGACTTCACCTTTCAACAGGACTTGGCACCTGCACACAGTGCCAAAACCACCAGCACCTGGTTCAAGGACCATGGTATCCCTGTCCTTGATTGACCAGCAAACTCGCCTGACCTTAACCCCATAGAAAATCTATGGGGTATTGTGAAGCGGAGGATGCAATACGCTAGACCCAACAATGCAGAGGAGCTGAAGACGACTATCAGAGCAACCTGGGCTCTCATAACACCTGAGCAGTGCCACAGACTGATCGAGTCCATGCCACGCCGCATTACTGCAGTTATTGAGGCAAAAGGAGCCCCGACTAAGTATTGAGTGCTATACATGCACATTCTTTTCATGTTCATTCTTTTCAGTTGGCCAACATTAGAGAAACAAACATTTTTTCATTGGCCTTTAGAATATTCTAATTTTCTGAGATACCAGATTTGATGTTTTCATTGGTTGTCACCTATAAATATCAAAATTAAATGTAATAAACATCGGAAATACATTGGTCTGTGTGCATTGCATGAATATAATGTACAAGTTTCACGTTTTGAATGGAATTACTGAAATATTTTCAACCTTTTGATGATATTCTAATTTACTGGCCAGCACCTGTAGTGCTCAAATAACATTGCACCTCCTTTTAAACTTCTATATGTAAAATCTGATAATTTTTTTCACATAAAAAGTATGAACATGAACGGAATAAGAACTGTTGCAGATAGTTATTTGCATATCCTCTGTTTTACATGGCTATTTGCAATAGCTCTCTCTCACACTTGTTTGTGTGTAACACTTGCTGTTTTAACCCTTTATATATCATTGAAGTAATTTGCATTTAAAATTTTCAACCCCAGGGTGTTATTTTGGTTAATAACAAAACATTTTTGCTGTTGTTACAAATTTCAAAAATATTTATTTTCATGCAGAAAATCAGAGAAAATGAACTGATCAGATATGGACGTTGGCCCTGAATAAAACAAAACAAAACATAAATAATTTAAATAAACATTATTTTTGAGTAGTTAAGATGATTATAAGACACTTTAGAGCAATCTATCTAATTTTAGAAGATTATATCGCTGCAGAATAATACAGATTATATCACATTTATTAAACAATATAGTATATTTTTATTAAAAGAGATCACTGTAGAACATTTTTGAAAGTTGTATGATAATAAATACATTTCTGATGAAATATAAAATATTAGAATATTTAAAAAAAGTATATATTTGAGGATCTGCCTCAGTGTCGTCTTTCTCCTCTTCGTCGTCATCACTGATTACGAAATTGGCTGGCAGAATAATTGTCCTCCATTTTCCATAGAAATCTTAGTTTAAAAAAGCAAAATATATTGTAACTGTTATTGTTACTTTTACCATGAATATTAAGATATGTCTACAAAACAGTAGATTTAACTAAAGGACGTATGTTCAAATGCGGCAGCTTTGATTTTCAGGATTTTCCCGACTTTATTGAGTTAAACATTTACAACACATACATCCTTATTTAGCACAACTAGCCAACCTTGTGATGTGAGAGTTTCATAAACCTGAGTATTGTTAGTTTTCGAGATCTGACCATAAACACGAGAGGAGACTGAGCGGTGTCTGGTTCTGCAGACAAACCAATATTTGGTGCATCAAAGTCCCGCGCTGATTGGTGGAATAGCGCCATGGCATGAAACGTGCCTAGCGTGATCTCTAACGATTAGTTGGGTGAAATCCCATAATTCTAAGATACCGTGAAAAGGAACACCAACATCATTTATGATGTGAGTGGAAGTGTCTAAATATAGAAGTTGGCCCTATGAAGGGTTAAGAGTAAGGCCCTCTGAAGCCCAAGGCTCTGAGTGGGTAGTACACAAGTGTGCAAAGAGTTGCTGAATTGGGACAGTGAGCATTGTGTCATCGACCGTGATGCACGCCACAATGCCAGCTGCTATTTGTGCTACATTAAAAGAAGTTATTAATAACTTTCAAACAATTATTTGACAAAATTTTTATTTATTGCTGGCCACATTAAACCTTGGTCTCAAACATTCAGAACATGGATAAATATCATTAATCGCTTCAAAATGAACTTCTTTCGTTTTGGTTTATGAAGGAAATGAAATGTTTATTTTTTTCTGACCAGAAGGGGAAAAAAATATATATTTTTCATTTGTTATCTCAACATTTTATTGTTGACTCCACAGTCAACACAGTAAATTACTGGCATGTCATGTCCAAAATGACACCAGAATCATCAGTTAATGATATTTTTCTACAGACATGTAAAGCATCTTTCAACAGAGAAACATTTGATTGTGATCATATACATACACAATAATGAAACACTCAGTATTTCAATAACATTTGAGAATACATATATTCAGAAAGGGCACTTGAGTTATTGCTCCACGTTCTTCTCAAAATTCCCACGCAGCAATGGATTGTGGGTAATACACTACACCGAAGCTTCGGCAAAGTGCGGATCAAATGTGCAAAGGGGGCACACACACACACACACACACACACACACACACACACACACACACACACACACACACACACACACACACACACACACACACGCACACGCACGCACATATATAATTTCTTTTTGTTTCTTTCACAGGGTTCTTCTGGTCCCTCTGGTCTGAAGGGTAGCAGCGGGGAGATGGGACCTCCTGTGAGTGAGCTAGTTGTCATGGAAACCCTTCATCTTTTGAACTGATCAGCTTTTCTTTTGTGTAATTTAATCTTCCACTTTTTCTCCAGGGTCCTCCTGGACTGCCGGGAATCCCAGGTCAGAATGGACGACTTGGAAAACGGGTGAGACTCTTCCCTCCTGTGTTTGTATAATCAGATCTTTTGATCTCAGTGTCGCAAACACGCTCATCATGCCTGTGAGTGGTCTGTGACAGCTACGTGTTTATTAGGGACGAGCAGGTGCAGATGGAGGACGTGGAGCGATAGGAGAGACCGGAGCCAAGGTGCACTCATTGTCAGAATCCTATATTTCATTTACTTGTGGTTCAATCCTTTTAAAGGGAGTCCTCTCCTGTGTTTGTGTCTCCACCAGGGAGACAGGGGCTTTGACGGCATGCCTGGTCTCCCAGGACACAAAGGACACAAGGTGAGTGGTTGGTTTAATGAGGGCTTGGTGCTGAAAAGGAGATTCAATTGTCAGCTAGTGTGTGTGTGATTTTTATAGGGTGACAGAGGGAAGCCAGGTCCTGTTGGTCCATCAGGAGAGCTGGGGGAAAAGGTGAGAGGTCATGCTGGCTGTGGCTAGCTGTTTTTGTCTGTAACTGAAGCATGTTTTATTTTGAACTCTTATTATTTAAATTTAAAGGGCTCTCAGGGACCATCTGGCCCAAGAGGTCAACCAGGTGATGCCGTGAGTGTACTATTTAATCTCACAAATGAAAACAGGCCAACATGTTTCAGTTTCTGAAAGTTTGTACAAAGGCAGAAGCTTGAGGCTGCACAGATTCTATTATATTTTATTTATGTGTGACTGTGATGTGCATTCTCAAGGGCCCCAGAGGTCTGAATGGCCCCCGAGGGCGCCCTGGACTCCAAGGCCTGCCGGTAAGAACGGACCGTACGCTACATCCTCACACACAAACAGGATCAAGTAGTAAACAAAACATTACACTGTCACACAAACAAGAGAAAACAGAGCCCAGCGATTATCTGTCTGCAGCAATTTTTAGTCAAACAGGAAACAGGAATCCCGCTGTGGTCTAACTGTTCTACCTTTTAATCACAGTGTTGGGTTACTTTCCGTTAACATTGCCTTATGCAACACTCATCTGAGAAAATGACTGTTTACTCAGCCCCGCAGCGGGTTCTTTCAGTTATGTGTAAAAGACATTTGCACTTGTAGCAACATGAGTAAGCACATGTCAGCATCTGATGGCACTGTTTTCTTTTATTTACCTTACATATTCATGTGTGAGGCTGGCTCATTAGGCAGTAAGACCTTAAAGCTAGGAGGGGGTGGCAAAATCACTAAGCCATCATCATTTTTAGCTTCATTTAGCTGAAGACTCAGGGCGGGGTGGAGAAGTAGCTGTTAAAAGCAGTTGGTGATGCAGTCCTCTTGTTCATTTTCTCTTCAGTCAGACAAGAAATGTTTGATTTCAAATGTTTATGGGACAGAGAATACACATTATGCAGGGAGTTTTCTACAGATGCATCAATGCTGATAATTCTGATTTTTGATCTTTGTACAACTCTGAGCTGCTGAAGCTGATTTGACTGGATTCTGATTTTTCTCAAAGAGCTATAATTAGTAAAATACTTATATTTTTAACTTCCCTTCAGGAACAAGCAACATCTTCTGCTTAAACTTTCTTTTACTGCCAGTGTGAATTAGCCTTCATGGTATATATTTATTTTGCTGCTTGGCGTGGACAACAAAAGAAAAAAATTCAGATCTCTGAGGTTCTTGATTACGGTTTAAGCCACAGTATCTAAGGAAATGTGTTCTCTGGTGTCCTCTTATTTTAAGCAGTGCTGAACAATTTTCCACTTGTCCCCTCCTACTGGTTGAAAATGGAATTACAACTGTCTTAACTCATTCACTGCCAGCCGTTTCCTGATCAGTAAAGCCCTTCGCTGCCAGCGGTTTTCACCAATTTCATTGTTTTTTTTAAGACTCAGAACGTTGCACGCTAGGATGATGTCAACACCAAAACTACCAAAACAAAGAGGAGACTCGCCTCTTACATCAGGAAGAATCCGCACGTTTCGAGCGTCATCTGTTCTTTCATAGTCCGTTGTCAAATAGTGATCGGCAGAAGCTTTTCCGGTTGGTGTCTCACTTTTTTCACAGCAGCGGCCCAAAATGATCTCCTAACACATGGATTTTCTGCTTCACGTGACGTGTGACGTACGCGGATGAAGATCGGCTTTAGAGCTGGGATCTTTGTTCACACTATGCGGGGCCCGTTCCGATGCCCACACAATAAAAAAATGCTAATGATGAATTTAGTCGTCAATGGCAGTAAACCGTTGGATTTAAAACGACGACTTTTCTCGTCAATGGCAGTTAATGAGTTAAAAAACAACTGCCATGGACTGCTGTAGCTAGCGCTAACAGCAAGCTAATGCTAACTCGAGCCAACTTATACTAAAGAATGCCATGAAGTAAAGAGATCCACACTCTTCGACTAAAAATATTAGTACCTGCAAGTCCAGTAGCAACAAAGCCAGGCCACCATCAGTTCTTGCTAATGGAAAGCACATTGAATTGCCTCTGTGTATGAAATGTGCTATATAAATAAAGCTGCCTTGTCTAACAGTCTGTGATTTCATAGCCTTCTTTAGCTCCTTCAAACTAATGTAAGCCACACAGATGTTCACTCTGGTTTTAGCTCTTTGCTTCACCTCCAAGGTGCCATGATGCCAACATAAAAAGCTAAATTTGCCCTATTCTTGTGCTTCTCATTTACAGTTGGCAAACCGGATAAGCTAACAGCTAGCCTTTATATGAGCTACCACCACTGTAAATAGAAATTGTCATAAAGCAGGTAGATGCCTCCCACAAATGTTTCTACCCAAAAGACATAAATGTTCAATGCAGTCTCTGGTTAGCAGATGGCTACAGAGTGCTGTCCAATGTGAAATTACTTATTTCTGGCTCAAGAATCACTGAAACCAGTTTGAAAGCAATAGCTTAAGGTGTTGAAAACTCTTTAGTGTTACTTTAACACAGAAGGTTTCTGTATTTTATTTCAATTTTCATGATAAAAGATCCATTTATGCACTTTTAGGATGAAGAAATAAATGTCTTTATGTATCTGCTCTCAGGGAATCCGAGGGATCGATGGAGTCCAAGGTTCAAAGGGAAACATAGTGAGTGGAATACAAATATATAAACAACACTACAGCTGCAGTCATGCATGTTGTTTTACAACATGGATTGTTTTCTGTAACAGGGACCACAAGGAGAAATTGGAGCGCCTGGTCAGCAAGGCAATCCTGGGATCTTGGTGTGTGCAAAAACAAAAAATTCCAATGATTATAAATAACTGACTATAAGCGCTAAGGTGGGATCTCTTCTACAGGGGTTTCCTGGACCTCAGGGGTTAGTGGGACTACCAGGAGAGAAGGTAAGTTATTCTGTCTTTTATTAAAAGCTTCTTGAATGATTGACTTATTCCAGTCTCACAGGGCCCTCAAGGGAAGAAAGGGACGCGGGGCTTACCTGGTAATGACGGGCCGCCGGTATGTACATGCACTTCACTTTAATGACATCATGCATTCCTGAGACTTAAGTCCAAACCAAACAACCAGCGTTGCAGCGTTAAATGCAGACATTAACAATCTTGCCAACAGGGTCACCCTGGAAGAGAAGGCACTCCAGGTGAAAAGGGATTGCCGGTAGGTGAGATTCCTCTGAGGCTTTTTTTTAAAACTGTTACAAGCTACAAGAAGATTATTCAGCATGTGTGTGTGTTGATTGGTAGGGCCCCGTAGGAGTGCAAGGTCCCGTTGGTTACCCCGGACAACGAGGAGTTAAGGTAACACTGCAAAACTATACAGATTGACAGACACATAAACGCATACATGAGTATAAATATTTTTCTGTGAATTTCTAGTAAAATGTGTTTTTTTTTCTGTTTGACAGGGAGCAGATGGTATTAGAGGATTAAAAGGGAGCAAAGGAGAAAAAGTGAAGTCTTTCTACTTTTTAAATTCAGAATAAATAAACGATTATTTATAGGATCCAGGGTTTGTGTTGTCAGCTAAACACAAATCACCTTTTTTTCTGCCTGCAGGGTGAAGACGGTTTTCCGGGAGCCAAGGGAGAGATGGGAGCTAAGGGAGATGTTGGGGACAATGGAGCTACAGGGATCCGGGGTGAAGATGGACCTGAAGGGCCCAAAGGCCAGTTTGGTCCTCAGGGAGAGGCTGGTCCTGCTGGAATTCCTGGAGAAAAGGTCAGAAAAAACTAAACATTCATGAATATATTTCTGAGCCAAGTGTTTGAAGTAAAGCCTCTTACCATCTGATTATTCCAGGGGAAACTGGGAGTTCCAGGACTGCCGGGATATCCGGGGCGACAGGGGCCCAAAGTAAAATGAAACAAAATGGTCTAAATTATTACTTTAAACACAGTAAAGCTCTTTTTAAGTGTGTGTGTGTGTGTGTGTGTGTGTGTGTGTGTGTGTGTGTGTGTGTGTGTGTGTGTGCGCGCGCGTATTTTCTTGCTTTTCAGGGTTCTGATGGTTTTGTTGGTGCAGTGGGACCTGCTGGAGAAAAAGGGAAGAAGGTAAGTAGAACATTCCGAAGTCGCCTGTATCAGGATACAAAACATGATCTTTTGAATATCTTGATCGTATTGTGATGAATCAGGGTCCAGCAGGACAACCAGGAGGTGGAGGCCAGAGGGGGTCAAACGTGAGTACTGCCTAACAGTATTCTATGGTTACCCAAAATGTACATGATGAGTTTTTGAACCCAAAATCAGACCAGATCAGATCTCCAGGGGTTTTCTTGGCTAATAGTTCTTTTAAATATGCTGTGGAGGTTTGTAGCATTAGTTTAAATTTAAATAAGTATCAAAGTAAAAATTGGAGGTTTACATTTGCTTTTTTATTTAGCCAATTTCTGGTTTGTAATTCTTATTGAAGTCTGTTATCAGTAAAAGCATGTGGTGTTCAGGAAGCACCCTTGTTTATATATGATCTGAACTTACCTGGAGAATGAGGTGTTGCCCCACTGCACAGGAATCAGAGCTTTTTGTTCACACCGATTCAAAGCTGCATCTTGCTTTTTTTCCTTTGGCAGGGTGCACGAGGTGCCAGAGGGGCGAGAGGCCCCACTGGGAAACCGGGAGAAAAGGTTCACTGACTCTCTTCCCATGCTACTTCATGATTTCTGTTATCTGAGTTTCCATCCTTCACTGCTCTTATGTTCTTCTTTCATCTCATATGTTTCCAGGGAGCCTCAGGACATGATGGGCCTCCTGGATCTCCTGGAGAAAGAGTAAAACAAACACTACCACAAATAATATCAGCTGAGTGGTTGAATTGAATAATGGTTTGTTTTAAATGAGAGATGTTTCTGCTTTAGGGACCTCAAGGGCCACAAGGAAGAAATGGAGAACCAGGACCTAAAGGGTCGAGTGTGAGTAACAAAAAAAGAGTTGCAGACTTTCATTAATAACACAGGCATGCAAACTTAGGGCCAATTCATCAGTTTCAGATTCACCTAACTCTTTCTTCACCTGGATCAGAAAAAAACAGTGTCTTACTGAGCTGTGACTGATGGCAACACATCTTAAATGGCTTTTAAGACAGAGTTGCAAAAAATTTCTCGAAACTTTTGCGAAGGCTATACATTTTGTCTCAAGGTGTCATTCTCTTATCCCTGGGATTTTAAACACCTTTGTCCCAGGCTTCTGGACCTCATCTGGAATTCTCCTTCATTCAGGCCTAGTCCACACGTAGCCGGGGTTTTTTGAAAACGAATATTCGCCCCTCCAAAAACTTGCATCCACACCACCGCGTTTTAAAAACAAACTCTGTCCACACGTACCCGGATAAATACGTTGTTAAGGACATGCCAGACCTGTAGGCGGCAGTACTTCCCCCGTTCTTAACCTCATCCTTCGTCTGTGGTCTTCCGCAAGGAGCAGTAATTCCGCTTGCAAAAACAAACAAGCAGAAAGCGCTTGGACAATTGATGGATCGGGTAGTGACAGAGCGCAGCTCTGAAGGCTTCCATGATGCTGGCTAGTGTAAACACAGGTCGCACACGTGATGTCAGCATTTTTTGTCACGGAAAGTGACGTTGCGGACCTTAAAACTCCGGTTATGTCTGTCCACACGCAGACACCCAAAACGGAGAAAACGCAGATCTTCACTTTGGCTGGAGTTTTTAAAAAACTCCGTTTTCGTGTGGATGACAGGCCAAAACGTAGAAGAATATCTACGTTTTGGCAGATCCCCGGCTACGTGTGGACAGGGCCTTAGATTCTGCGCACCAAAAAATGCAAGAAAAAGAAGAGACCTCTGGGAGGCATTGGCAACCGTATTACAAATATAATCAGGGCAACTTGTGTACAAACTGAAACATAATTAAGATATTTTGTGATGAACTGAGACAAGATGGTCCACACAATATCTCCATGACCATTGCAATTTGTTTGCATATATGCCATTTGCTCCAAGTGACCTGATCATATTTATTATTTCTTCCTAAAGAATGATGTGCACAAATTCATTGTGATTCCAAATAAAATTTGGCATTCTTTCTCACAATTTTGTGTTTATGACACTCATTACAGCTCTGACAACCTATTTTTCAAAAAAATAAAAAAAAATCTTCTAAATAAGAAGGAAGCCTGATTAGTGTGACACCTACAGGATTCCTAACAAAGTGAAAGCTGGTACAAAATCTGAAGATTGGCTTTCTGCTCTAATGGTGCCTGTCATTTTCTGCAGGTGTGATTTTATTCCTAAAATCTCTGTTCATAACACAAATGGCAGCAACAACTAAACTCTCTAAAACTAACATTGAAGACGATTTGGATTCAGTTTTAAATGATTCATGTGTTGTAACTCAGATATGAAATCTCATTTTATAACATCATTAAATAGGTTGGCGGTATTTTATTCTGATTAGTAAATTAGAAAATAATAATGTGTTAAATATATACTTCTTGAGCCTGAGGATCCCCTATTGTGGGTAAAAAATGTTTAGCATCAAAATGTATATCCTATACATCAATAAATATCATCAAGCTGTACCTCTGCAAAAACTGCAGAACCTGGACTACAAGACCAAATAAACATTTTTTACGTTTTCTAAACACAACTATGAATCATGACAAATCGCTCTTTGTGAAGAAAAGAAAGAAAATTTCAATGTTTTTACTGTTATGCTTTGTAGTTGTTATAAAGCAGGAAGTAACTTTGTCCATTTGAACCTGAGAGCAGGAGGGACAAGCATACGTACTACGTACAGCATTCATCATGTAGCCCTCCGTAGAACTTCCATTGAACTCTACACTACACCTCTCTCTCTCTCTCTCTCTCTCTCTCTCTCTCTCTCTCTCTCTCTCTCTCTCTCTCTCTCTCTCTCTCTCTCTCTCTCTCTCTCTACATTAGCAATGCTCTGCTGCCACCTAGTGTTCAGTGTAATACACAACATTTACAATGTTCCACCCCCATTTACACTTAATCAGTAACACATATACTAATATTTACACATCCCAACAAATCCCACAATGGTTACCTTTATAACAAAACCAAAGTAACCAAATAGACCTTGTGGTTACAGAAATGTACTGATTAAAGTGTGCATCTAACATTATTTTTAATTTTTTTTAAATTGCATGAATGATTAAATCTTGAATGATTAAAATGTGATTAATCAAGATTAATTAATTGCAAAGCCTTTAATTAATTAGATTAAGTCCCACCCCTAAGTTTTAGCCATTACAGAGTAAACACAATTTTGCATTGCCATTGTCACAGCATCTAGAGTTTTAACGAATGAAAGTGATTAATAAAACCGTTTTGTCCATTCAGACCAGATAAGATGATGGGGGAGCCAAATCTTTCCAAACCACAGAGACAAGCTTTGGAGATGGTTCTAACTGTGGGAAGCAAAAGTTTCTGAACAACATTCAATCTCGAACGAAATCTTTGTCATGCTCTGTACAAAACTCAATAACCATGGTATTGGAAAGACTGATACATAAAAAAACACACACACACATGCCCTATGCTGCATTTGTAGGGTCCAGCTGGAAAGGATGGACTTCCAGGTCACCCAGGTCAGCGAGGAGAACCGGTGAGTTTGATTAAAGAAGCTCATGTGCTTTTATTTTTGAAGATTCTTGTTTCTACATGTTTACACTGAAAAGGAGCTTGCAATATTAAATCAGAAAGTCTGTTATTTATTTGTTGTTTCTTTTGCAGGGTTTCCAAGGAAAAACAGGATCCCCAGGACCTCCCGGTGTGGTGGGACCGCAGGTTGGAAGATCCATATGGCAGCATTACTGTGTGTCATGTTTTTTTGGTGAGATACTCTTAGTAATGTGCCTATGTTTGTTTTAAGGGCAAATCAGGAGAATCTGGTCCAATAGGAGACAGAGGTCATCCTGGAGCACCTGGTGTGCCCGGAGAGCACGGCTTACCTGGAGCCGCCGGGAAAGAGGGTGGAAAGGTCATGACACAGAAATTACTATTGTGTCACAGAAAAACATTTCTTTAAATGGCATAATAATGTGAAATTGCGTGGAACCGTTAATTTTCTTTTAGATTTGATCAAATTGACTGTAATGTCAGTCTTTCTTAACAGGAGATTACCTCATTTTTAAACTCTGCGAAGCAGTTGGAGATCAGAATTCCTTCAAGGAATTCTGGGTGTTTGATGTTTTTCTTTTTTCCCTTCGTGTTTATCATCTTTCAGGGGGATCCTGGCTTACCTGGAACTTCTGGGAAGAGTGGTCCACCTGGTCTGAAAGGGTTCAGAGGGAGCAGAGGAGCTCCTGGAGTTATGGTGAGTTATGGTGACCAACTACTATTCATAAAAATGACCTGAAATCTCAGGATTTTCTTTTCAACTGGATTTAAAGTAAAACATTTCTTTGATATTTCAAGGGACCACCTGGTCTGAAAGGATCATCTGGACCTGGTGGATCATCAGGGGTCATTGTGAGTCATGGTGTAGTGTTTTTGTTTGTTGTGTATTTTAAAAGGGAAACGAGTACAGAATAAGTAATAATCTTGTTCCTGCTTCCATATTTACTGTAACCATAGAACTTTTACTTATGTGGACATTTGCTGTTTGCAGGGACCAACAGGAGAAAGAGGTCCTCCAGGACCAGCTGGAGCTATTGGACAGCCGGGTCGCACCGGAGCAATCGGAGGACCCGGACCAATGGGAGAAAAGGGAGAACCTGTAATTAACCCGTTCTCTATTTTAGTGTTTGATCATTTTTTTCCATTAGTTATCATTTGTTTCTGCTGCTATTGTAGATCAGCTCAAACTAGGTGATTGGAAATAAAACATTTTACGTATTCAGGTTTAGTTGGAATAGCTCATATTTTTAGTTTACATCCTAGTTGCACTTTTTAAAAAGGGTTTATTTTGTCTTAGGGTGAGAAGGGACCAATAGGACCCGCAGGCCAGGATGGGGATCAGGGACCAGTAGGGATGCCTGGAGCTACGGGCCCTGCGGGACCACCTGGAGATGATGGGGACAAGGTAAATTTTGTGTGTCTGAGAACCAGCAAGGATGAGCCACTGTGTGTGTGTGTGTGTGTGTGTGTGTGTGTGTGTGTGTGTGTGTCTGCAGTGATATACATGTATTGTGTGTTTGTGTCCACAGGGAGAGCAGGGAGGACCTGGACAGAAAGGCAGCAAGGGGGACAAAGGAGAAGCAGTGAGTATGGAGACAGAAAAGTGCAACAACATGGATGTCAGGAGATCTGTTCATGTCTCAGTTTTTGTTCCTTTCAACTCTTCCTACAGGGGCCTGCAGGTCCTACTGGTACTCAGGGGCCAGTTGGTCAGTCAGGACTTCCAGTGAGTCTTTGTTTTTCCAAAAAATATTGTTCATCTTTGTTTAGTTATTTGAAAATTAAAACTTTTAGTCAGGCCACCTTTGGTATGATGTTTAATAGCTTTTATTATAGTTGAGTGCTGGAGGAGAACAGTTTGTTTCATGTCTGATTCAAATATCAATAACCTAAACCCTGTCTCATTCATGTTGCATAATCTCACTGTTTCAAGTAAAGCTTAAAGGTGCAATGTGTAAGAATGTTGCAGAGAAATAATCACAAAACAGTCTAATGTCTCAGTCATGGTGCAAGGAAGGTTACACTTAAACAGAGTTGCAGGCTGGGTGGTTGCCAGTTTTTCTCCTCCATACTTCCTGGTTCTGGAACTAATCAAATTTGAGCAGGGCTGCCTACTTTAGAAAAACGCCATGGGGGGGGGGGGGGGGGGGGGGGGGGGTTTGCTTTTTTTCAGCACGAGATATTGGAGGTTTGGCATGAAGGTGTGTGAAGATGGTCAAATGCATGGCAGCCCTGTCTGAGCCCACAAAGCTGCCAAGTAGTAAAGAAGGCCAGAGGCTATCATTGAGCTAACAATGCTAACAAAAAAAATCATCTGCTCTAAAAGTTTGTCAAGCTACTTTTTCAATTACCAACAATTCAATATTACTGTGAAATGTATTTATACTTATCAACGTACTGTGTATGTTTATGTTTATGTATTTAGCAGACGCTTTTGTCCAAAACGACTTACAAGTGTATGACTCGTCTTTGCTCGACATCTAGAATCGCCTAGAGCTAATCCATAACTGGCAACTGTTGATCAGACTGGACTCATTTGTTTTGATACGCAGGCTGCAGTACCCAAATTTAACCACAGGACGTCAGTCTTACTTTTGCACCTTAAAAATGTCGCCTCATTGTTACCAACACCACTGCATCACTGTTTTCACCTGTATTCACATTCCTATTTGCACACCAGGGCGTAGATGGATTGTTAGGTCCTCGGGGCCAGCAGGGCATGTACGGTCCAAAAGGTGATGAGGGACTGCGTGGCTTTAAGGGTGCTAAAGGACCAAGAGGATTACAGGTGATATTTGTAAAAATAAACAATAAAACATTAACATCTAAAGAGCTTAACCAGTTCTGTTTGTGTTGCTAAGGGCATGCCTGGTCTACCTGGAGAAAAGGGTGAGAGTGGACACGTTGGATTAATGGTGAGCTCCGGTTGTGTTTAAATTAATCTTCATTTTTGCTAAGATTGTTAAATATTGAAGCGAAATTTTCCTCATCAATGTGTTTTAGGGTCCACCAGGGCAACAAGGCCCCGCTGGTGCTCAAGGACCTATTGGGGGAATTGTAAGTATATATGAATACAACAATTTCGATATTTGAGTCAAGTTCAACGACCTGTTAGAAATTCTTAGTGAATACTTTGAGTCTTTGTGGTGTACAGGGACAGACTGGTAGACCGGGGATGATTGGACAACCAGGCAGTGTTGGAGAAAAGGTAAAAAATACACATATGGACCCTTTAAAAAAACTTGACTTAAATGTTGTATTTCTACATATTTTGTGTTAACATTACCTTTAGGGAGAGGATGGAGAGGCAGGTGATCCTGGACCAGTTGGTATTTCAGGAAGACCAGTGAGTTTCATCTTTTGGGACAACATTTCATTTATTCAAATATAAACTTTCACAAATCATCTTCACATTATCGTAAAATAAGCAAAAACATTTTTGTAACATTATATGTTTGGTCACTGGCCTCCTCCATCACTACAGGGAGATAAAGGAGACCAGGGGGAAAAGGGGGACGCGGGTCTTCCAGGAGCAGCAGGTCCTGCAGGAGCCAGGGGCCCTCCAGGAGATGATGGAGCCAAGGGGAATGCTGTGAGAGACACATTTAAAAAACAACAGAATCTTTTTGGTGCAGCAGAAGTAGTTCGCAGTCAACACTCTCACGCTCAATATTTGGTCTAAACTTAAAGAAATAAAAAATTTGGTAACATAACACTTGACAGACAGGTTTGATAAATCATTTATCCCAGAGGGAAAATGAAGCATCCAGCTGCATCTTTAAAAACACACAGTGAATAAATGATTGTAAAAATAAGAGAAAAACATGAAAATAGCTAATTGGAATCTAAGATTGAGTTTAGATGGATGTGTCTGCCATAATTAGCTCAAAATGAGTAAAAGCAGGACGAAGTGAATCTGTGCCAAAGTTAAATATCACACTTACAATTCTGACTTGATTAATTGAATGTTTGTGACCTCTCTGCTGCAGCTGGGATGAGACATACACACTAATGAACAGTCTTTCTGTCAAACACAGCCATTGAACACACTCCTCATTCTGGTGTATTTGATTTAAAAATCCCACAAACACTTAATAAAATACAAAATGCATACAACTGTTTTTCTGCAGATGGGTTACAGATATCTTGCTTTCTTCTGTATGTAATATTCAGGCTGCAGCTTGATTAAACTGAATCTATGTTTACTGTAAATACTCAGCTTGTTGTGAGCTTCTAACATAAGTGGGTCTTTGTGATTTATTGCTGCTACAACACAGTAAAACTTTGAATACTCATTTTTTTAAACCACTGGTTATTTTTGGTTCATCCAATGTTGCTCCAGTTTTTTGTGCTGCTAAGGTCAGCAGTGAAGTACGTCCACTTGCAGCAAATGTCCCCAGTAAGAGAAAAGATGGGTCTTGCTTTCAGACTTTATATCTGTTTAACCAGTAGAGGGTTAGGCATATTTTCTGGAAATAATTTACCTTTTGCAAGCTCTGTTTCCTATAAAAGCAGGATCTATCCTATTAAGATATTGATTTAATTGTTGGATTAACTGGATGCATTTAAATGAATTAATGAGTCATCACTTTGGTTTGAGAAAAACCCTTAGTCATTCATAGAGAGGATCTCAAATAGAAATCTAAGTCCACATTTCACACAATGTAAAGGTCAAATCAAAATCTAAAAGTTAAATGTTAAATCCAAGGCTAAATATTAAATCTAACTCTATGTCTAAGTTTAATTTTGAAATGTGATCTTAATGGTAAATGTAAATGTAAACTCTGAATCAAAATGTTAAATCTCCAGAGTCATGATGGGATCATAAACTTAGACTGTGCTCCAGATTTTATCTGCAGAAACTTTTCTCCTTTTTGTTATACTTTTCAACATGAAATCTTCATGTCTGAGGCGGGAGAGACTTTTCGGTGTTATACATTATCTTCATAGCCTTTAAAGGTAGAAATATTCACACACTTTGTCATCCAATCTGCCTGTAGTTACTCCACCTTCGTAGCACTAAGGAGAGCCTGTTGTATGGTGCAGCACAAACTCCACTTTATCCTCTCCACAGGGCCCGATAGGTCTGACAGGTGACCTCGGACAGCAGGGAGAAGCTGGTCCCAACGTGAGTGTCTTCTAGTTTTTCTTTGACGTTTTTGTCTTCTTTGGTTCCCCTGCAAAGCGCTGCTTCATGCTGTGCTTATCTGTTTTATGTCTGTAAAGTTATAAAATCCTTTGTTTTAAGGACAATCTCTGCAGAAATATTTGACTGTGATATGTTTTAAGCAAAATTTTAGTTTTAATGAAAAAGTGAGAGGACATTAGGCACATTTTGAAGTGGCATGATCCAAACAGGCACCACTACTGGAACATTTGAGGTTTTCCTTATCAATAATAAATTACAATCTAACCATACATTACTTGGTATATATGTTGTGTGTGTGGATGTGTGTTTGTGTGTGTGTGGGTGGGCTGGTGTGTGTGTGTGTGTGTGCGTGTGTCTGCTCTGTCTTCTCGATCCCCAGTGAGTCGTGGAGGATGGCTGCTTATACCGAGCCAGGATCCTCTGGAGGTTTCTTCCTGTTAAAAGGGAGTTTTCCTCTTCACTGTCGCTAAATGCTTGCTTAGTATGAGGATTGATGTAAAGTCACTGACACTGGTCAGTGACTTGATGCAATCTGCTGGGTTCCTTATATAGGAAACCTTTTACTGATTGGCTTAATGAGCTGACCTATGTTGGAACGTTTAACTTGTGAAGTGCCTCGAGACGACTCTTGTCGGGATTTGGCACTAAATAAATAAACTTGAATTGAATTGAACATGCATCAGCTCTACTTATGCTTATTTTGTGGTTGTGGTTGCTTGATGGACTGAGAGTGCTGTTCTGTTTTAAGACAGATGTGTTTGTTGTGTTGTGTAGTTGTTTCTGCCCACAGTTTTCCTTTCCTCATTAGGGTATCGATGGCCTTCCTGGATCTAAAGGAGATATTGGCGATCCTGGAAAATCTGTGAGCTTATTTTTCTAAATTTTAGCATCCTCAGCAGCATTTGGTTCATTCATACAAAAAATGACCTGATTTGTCATCAGGGACCACCAGGACCACCAGGTGAGCCGGGACCTCCGGGACCTCCTGGGCGAAGGGTGTGTGTAGTTTTCATTTCTCATTTTATCCCCTAAATATGGCAGCATTTTTTCTTTTGCTGTAAACTCATATTTTAATCTTTTAGGGCCATTTGGGGAAACCAGGGAAAGAGGGAAAAGGAGGTTTAAAAGGAACAAAGGTAAGAAGTGGAAATAAATTCCCTTAATTATCATCAGAATTTCAACAGTGTGTCCCATTTTTTCATCACTTCAGGGAGCTCCTGGATTGGAAGGTCCCATTGGAAAGACAGGGCCCGTTGGAGCTCAGGGGCATCCTGGGAATCCCGGTCCCCAGGGACTGAGGGGAATCCCCGGCCCTGCTGTAAGACCATATGACAAATGCAAAGATAAAAAAATTAATAAAGCACAAATAGACAGAAGCTCATTATTATCTTTTGTTTTTCCAGGGTGAGCAGGGTTTAAACGGACCACCGGGTCAGACAGGACCTCCAGGTCCCATGGTGAGATCATTGATTATTGAAAGATGACAAGCTAATGTTACAGATTTTTTCTGTTAAACATTCTATTCACAAAACAAAGATTTTGTTACAAGTTTGGGTTTTGTAAAGTGGGAATAATAAACTTTTGACCAGCAAGTTAACCACATTTTAGTCTCTTTATGATGCCGTGAGTACATTATAATAATAATAAAAACCTACTAAACAAAGAAATATAGAGATGTTCAAACAAAAATGATCATTAAATGTCATTATAACATTAATACATACTATAATTGTTATATTGTTGACAAGCTGAGTTTAAAACATTGAGTTCATTATTACCTTGCTATTATTATTACTTGTCTAGACTAGCTGGCTGCTATTTGACACAATTATTGATAATTTATTCTAAAATAACTAGTATATATATTTTTATATATATATATATATATATATATATATATATATATATATATATATATATATATATATATATATATATATATATATATATATATATATATATATATATACATACATACATACACCGTAATTTCCGGAATATAGAGCGCACCTCAATATAGGCCGCACCAAAAAAAAAAAAGTTTTCTACACACACACGCCGGACTAGAATACAAGCCGCGGCACAGCAGCCACGTGCAGGTCTCTGGCGCACAGCGCATGTATGTCATGGTCTGCGTTTGCCCCTTCCTTCATGTGCCTCCTGGTGTTTCTCCATCCTCTCTAGATTCCCTTCTGTGTCTCATAGCGCCCTCATGTGTCCTTTAGTCTACGTCTCAATTATGTGTCTTATGTTTTTAGCCCTTTTAAAGTCCTTTCCTCCCAGGTCCTGTGTTATTCATTCATCCCCAGCCCTCCAGGTCTTCCTTCTCGTTCTGTAGCTCCAGCCTCTTTGTCCCCAGCTCGGTGTGTGTGTGGCCGTTCCCCTGCTCAGTGTTTGTATGTGTATGTGTTTGTGTGAGTCCTCCCTCAGTCTTAGGTTTAGTTTTTGGTTTAGGTTTGTCTGCCCTCCATTGGTTCTGTTTCCCCCATTTAGATAATTTGTGTCACCTGCCTTCCCTCAAGCCCTCACTCCACACACCTGCTTCCTGTTTCCTTAATTGTTCTCCCTGTGTATTTAAGCCCTGTCTTGTCTCTGTTTGGTGTCGGTCCATTGTGGTAATTCTGTATGTCTCTCGTTCCTAGTCTCTAGTGTTGCTCGTGTCTCAGTTGGATCTCTAGTTTATTTTGGATTTTGGACATTTTTGGACTTTGGCTCCCTGCCCTGGATTTATTCTTCGTTTCATCCTTCAAAAATAAAGGATTTTACTTTACGTCGTCTCCTGCCTCGTGCCATCCTGGGTGCTGCATTTTGGGTCCTACAAACCTCGTATCGTGACAATGTATGGCCATAACATAAGATAATTAGACAGAAAGACGCTACACGGAGGTTTTTTGTTGTTGTTTTAATTCAACAAAATGAATTTTAATCACGGGTGAACGTGCCTGCATGTTTAGAAAAGAAATTCATATTTCTGGATGGTTATAAAATAAAAACAGAACTGACACGTTATTACCGGTAATTTGCATGCATGTTTAGAAGAAAAGAACAGCGCTGACACAGCATTAATAAGCCCTGGATGATTAGAAAATAAAAACTGCACACAAAACATGCCTGGTTAGTAAATAAAACACACTTGCCTACCAGAAGAAGTCATTCGCTCTCATCTTCCTCTTGCGCACTAAAGCCATTAAAGTCCTCTTCTTCAGTGTCGGAGTTGAACAGCCTCAGAAGAGCTTCGTCACATACCTTTTCTGTGGCAATGCCAGTGTCGCTGTCCGTGTTGCTGTCATCATCCCCGGGTGAAGCTGGCTTGAATGAGTTCTTCCCGCTGCCGTCTCTAGCGCCGAACCATGGATTCATTCATGCCAAGCTGACGTGCGGCAGCACTGTTTCCCTCCTTTACTTCCAGATCGATGGCCTTCAACTTAAATGCGGCGTCATATGAACTCATACGTGTAGTTACCATGATGAGGGGGTATGGATTTGAAACAAATTCTTCGTCGTGCCGGCTGCTTGCATGTGCTAAATTAAAATGAGCACTTTCTTCGATTTCCACTTTTGACTTCCACCTGTTTCACTTTCTGCTAAAGCGCCCCCTAGTGGCAGGTGAAGGAAAAATCTTCAGTAAAGCCGCACCTCATTATAAGCCGCATATATAATGTTTTAATTCAATAATTAATTACTTTTTTTCTAATTGATTAAAAACAACCGAAGTATTTCTTTAAAGGGGCTCACTGATGTTATTTCTAAACATTTATGTTTTTTTTTCTTCCTGACCCAATTTTATTCCTCCAGGGCCCACCAGGTTTACCAGGACTTAAAGGAGACCCTGGCAGGAAGGGAGACAAGGTGTGAGCCGACTGCACACACTTAATCATTGAGATTTTCTCTCTTGTATTTAATGACCTCATAACTGGTGTGTGTGCAGGGCCACGGTGGTCTGATAGGTCTGATAGGACCTCCAGGAGATATTGGGGAAAAGGGAGACAGAGGACTTCCGGGAAACCAGGGACTTCAAGGTCCAAAGGGAGATGAGGTGCTGAAAACAGTCCAGCTCACACTCAGATGGTTTAAAATTTAACGAGCGGATGTTAATCAGAAAAACTTTTAATCTGTATGACAGAATATACACAACCCACTGGAGCTGCGGCCTCTCATAAGTCTTTATTATTATTATTATTTTTTGCTTCTTGAGGAATTACTTTTTAGATTTTGCCATATCTATGATGTAATTGGATACATGAAATGAATGCCAGGTATTTAAAGTTGCATCCTTCACAGGTTTGAACAAAGCTTCTGAAACTTTATGGAGCCAGATTAAAGAAACCAGAATGGCTCACATTCATTCTATTTGTTGAAAAATGTGTAAACTGAATCGGGTTTAAAAATAACTAAAACACAGGCTAAGACCTAAACAAGTGGTTCTGATACCTTTTCTTCATCTAAGGGTTCAGTTGGCCCATCCGGTCCACATGGTCCCCCTGGCCCCACTGGATTGTCTGTGAGTGAACTGGATCATTTTGACAATTCCTAGTATAAAAATCTGCTCCACATTTATCAGCATGAAGATTTATGGAACAGTGTTCATCTTGTGTTTTTTACATTTCTCTGACAGGGGGCTATTGGTGAAAAAGGTTCCAAAGGAAACCAGGTATTTTTCTTTGAAGGAACTAACTACTCAGAGCTATTAAAGCTGGACCATAACAGAACCATTGGACTACTTTAGGTTGATTGTTTTACTTTGTATTAAGGGTCCAATCGGCCCCAGAGGAGACGATGGACCTGCAGGGCCTCCAGGACCCCCGGTGAGTTCTGCTTACAAAATTAGATGCATACAAACTATAGTTTTTAAAGACCGAGTTCACTGAGGAATTGTTTTTTTACTTGTAATTTTTGAAATATGATCAGACACTCTTGAGTTTCACATGCAGGCTAATGCATGTGAAAATGTGAATAAAATGTGTATAAAGTCTTTTACCCCATTTCCTTTATTAGCCGCTGATAGGAAATAGTCAGAGAAACACCTGGGTTAGAAAAGCGGCTCAGATCTACATCACACAGTAAAATAACATTCATGGACCCACCCATTTTGGCTCATGACGGGAGGCTGTTGTTGATTTATCATCCAGGAGAGAGCAGAGCACGTTTTGACTAGTAGAAGCTAACCATTAGCATTAGCAACACCAAAACATGGCATAACTCCTTCAGGCTTGTGTTATTTATGAAGAAGAAATGTCAGCGTTGCAGAACAAACTGAGTCAGGGGTAGAGTTGCGTTGCTGTTAGCCAATGAGGGGCGAGATGTCTGAATATCAAGAAATACGATCAAATCCCGCCATCTTTTTCTCCCCGCTCCTCTGACTCACTTCAAGTTCTCTTTCTTAACATTCGTTTCGATGTCTCACTATGGGATACGCCCCTCCGCGGATTCCTCAGAAGCACTTATCTCAATACGCCAATCCTGATTGGCCAGTGACCGTGACGTACGCGTCCCCCTGCTACTATAAGTAGCAAGCGTACCCACGCACGCACTATTCAATCACCTCTTCTCGCTTCGGTGGTCGCTTATCTCTGAGGTAAGTTAGCTCAACTGTTCACAGACGGAGCCTTCTAATATTCTCTCCGTCGCCGAACGTTAACTTACCGTCCTTCTGTCCTGACCTTCACCATAGGCTCGGGGCATAACGAGCAGCTTCACACTCCAGTGCATCTGCTCGTTCTATGCTAACACACCAGTTAGCCAACATGGAAGCCGCTCCTCCCACCAGAGGAGTCGACGGCGCAGGAGCTCGCCTCTGTACCTGTGGGAACAAAATCTCAAGCAAAGACCCGCACAGGGTCTGCTCGAGCTGCCTCGGGCTGGAACACGCCCAGCTGGCATTGGAAGTCCCCGGATCATGTGAGAGCTGCGCTTGCTTCACCCTGAAGAGCCTTCGCCGCCGGCTAGCGCGCCAAGCTAGCCTGTCGGGGAAGGACCCTTGCCTGCCGGCCTCTGGGCCACCGCCTGGGGACGCCAGCGAACATGTCCTCCCGGAGCCGGAACCGTGTGCCGAACTCAGCTGGGGCTCACAGCTCGAACTGGCCGGTCCGAGCCACCCCGCCGAGGACGTGTTGGAGTTGGACTACGGAGACGACGAGGACACCTCGGAACTCCTCATTTCAGAGGAGGACGACGTCTTTCTCCCCATCGCTCAGGCCTCCATGCCTAGCTTTCCGTCCTCTCCCAGGGATGGAGCGGCTTCTCCGGCCGCCCACCTGGACATGCAGTCAGTCTGCCGACGCGCTGCGACCAGGCTCAACATCCCTTGGCCCACCGTGGTCACTGAGGCTGTCAGATCCCGCTACGACGGAAAGAAGCTGCCTCAGGCCACGAGGGCGGCAAAGCCCCTCCTTCCCGCCTTCCCGAAGCTACTCCAAGAAGTGAGGTCCTCCTGGGACAAACACCCGTTCAGCTCCAGGTCTCCTGTCCAAGGAGCCTCCTCGCTGGACTTCGAAGGGATGGAGAAGGCTGGCATGCTTTGTATGCCGCCGATGGAACGGCTGGTTGCAGCCCACCTGCACCCACGGCTCTCGGCGACTTCCTCCAGGCCTCCCGCTCTCCCTGCGAAGGCGGACCGCTTCCAGTCGGCGCTGAACGAGAGGGCGTACAAGGCTGCCGCCATCTCGGTCCGAGCTTTGAATGTCTCCTCCATGCTCTCGGCGTACCAAGCCGAGCTCTGTGAGGACATGAATACGAAGCCAGACCCGGAGGTGTGGGAGGAAATTACCGTACTGACCGACATCTGCCTGCGTGTGCAGCGCTGCGCGGTCCATGCTACGGCTAAAGCTATGGGCATGATGGTGCTTCAAGAACGTGCACGATGGCTGAACCTCACCAACCTCTCTGAGAGAGAGAAGGAGGACATTTTGGACATGCCAATCGTGCCTGAAGGCATTTTTGGCTCTGCCCTGGCATCAATGCAGCAACGGTGTGCGGCCAAAAAGAAAGAGGATGAAGCCCTTCATCTCTGCCTTCCCCGTAAACCCTCACTGGCGCTGCCGGCTCGGCCGAACCTGCCTCAGGCAGCTGCCCGAGCCCAGCCTCAGTTCCGGATCCCAAAGCGCCCGAAGCCTCAAGCTGTCCAACCAGCTCCTTCGGGCTCAGAGCCTCGACCAGTTTGGCCTCAGCGATCCGGCAACCAAGCTGCTCCGCCGCCGGGACAATCCACCAGACACGGCGGTCAGCAGGTGAAGAGGAAGAAGTGGGCAGCCTGTCGGAGTTCTTCCCTCCCGACGCTGCAGCAGGTGGTTCCCCGTTCGCCAGCTCCTCCTGTTCGATGTTGCCATGGTGCTTTCTCCCCCCCCTCACGGAACCCCTCCGGCAGAGTTCCCGAGCGGTCCAGGGTGGGGCCAGGACGTGCAGCCGGCGGTGCCGGCTCACAACACACGTCACAAGCACTCACATTGTTTTTCACAAACATGTCACGCTCAAGGAGCATTAAAAGGTTCGCTGTCGCATCCAGACAAGATGTCCAGGGCGCAGCAAAAATCAATAAAAATGTCACCCATGAGCGGTTCCAGGCGGGGGCGGCGCCACGGGGCGTCCTCGTAAGCCTGGGCCGTCAAAGCACAAAGCCCCCGCGCATGCGCAGTGGCTTCCACGAGCACCGCTGCCCCACAACCTCTGGAGGGAGCTGGTGCTCCGTGTGTCACGGCTGTGTCACCGCTCTCCACTCACATGGAGGAATGGACAGCGGTTTCTGCTTCACGTTGGGTGCTGAGAACTATTTCGAGGGGTTACAGGCTCCAATTCGCTTCTGTTCCTCCTCGATTCTCCGGCGTAGTGTTCTCCCACGCCCAGGGGTCGTCATCTCACATCCTTTAGGGAGAAATCTCCTCCCTGCTGGAGAAGGGAGCGATATGCATTGTGCCTCCCGATCGGTCTCAGAGCGGTTTCTACTCCAGGTACTTCCTGGTCCCGAAGCGGGGAGGGACCGGGATTCGCCCGATCCTGGATCTGAGGGCCCTGAACCGATGCCTCAGAAAGTACAGATTCAAAATGCTCACGCTCTCATCCCTTTTGCGTCTGATTCACCAGAGCAACTGGTTCACCTCAATCGACCTGAGGGACGCATACTTTCATGTTCCCGTGTACCCTCCACACAGGAAATTTCTGAGGTTTGCCTTTCAGGGAGTGTGTTACGAATACACCGTGCTCCCATTCGGCCTCTCGCTGAGCCCGAGGGTGTTTGTCAGGTGTACGGAGGCGGCGATCGCCCCTCTGAGAGGGAGGGGCATTCGGCTGGCCACGTATTTAGACGACTGGCTCCTGCTGGCACGGTCCAGAGAGGAGACAGCGTCAAACACGCTGGTTGTGATCCATCACTTGTGTGGTCTTGGTTTCAGAATAAACTGGCAGAAAAGCGCTTTACTCCCCTCCCAGAAAATAACCTTTCTAGGTCTGAATCTGGACTCAGGGGCGTTCACGGCCCGTCTCTTGGCACCGCGCGTGAACGTGCTCTCGTTCTATTTCGTCTAGTCTTAGCCCTTAAGCGAGCTGCTATTGGAAGGGTGATCTCAGCATCAGCCAATCATGAAGAGCTTAAATGTACGCCCACCACGTGGGCACCCCTTGTGGGTTATATAAGTGGAGCGACTCCACTGTTCGCCTCCGTTTTCTCTTCACGCCAAGCTTAAGAGCTTCTTTTAAGAGCAATTATACAAGAAAAATCTACTCACCGACCATGTCCAGCGACGCCAGGACCTGCCCGGCCTGCCAGACGGGCTCCATCTCCAGTGGCGACCTGCACGCCAAGTGTGAGGTCTGTCTCGGGGCTCACCACGCTGGCCTGGCCTTGACCCCCAGGCCTCGTGCCCGTTTTGTACCGCTCTGCCCGTGGCTGAAAAGGTCCGCCGGGTCGAGTACTTCACCCCCTCCACCGACGAGGAAATTCCGGTGGCTGGCACGTACTCGCTGGACAAGGCGTTACGGTTCTTCAACGTCGGCCAGGAGCCGGCTGGCTCCTACCGATTGGACGATGTCATCGACAGCGAGGAGTACGACGAAGCTGGCTTCCATAGCCCTTCCCTCCTGTACAACACGGAGGTCGACTACGAGGCTGGCTGCCATAGCCCTTTTTCCCTCCAGTACAACACGGAGGTCGACGAGCCTCGTGAGGAGCACGACGAGGCTGGCTGCCATAGCCCTTTTTCCCTCCTGTACAACACGGAGGTCGACGAGCCTCGTGAGGAGCACGACGAGGCTGGCTGCCGCAGCCATTATTCCCTCCTGTACAACACGGAGGTCGACGAGCCTCGTGAGGAGCACGACGAGGCTGGCTGCCGCAGCCATTATTCCCTCCTGTACAACACGGAGGTCGACGAGCCTCGTGAGGAGCACGACGAGGCTGGCTGCCGCAGCCATTATTCCCTCCTGTACAGCACGGAGGTCGACGAGCCTCGTGAGGAGCACGACGAGGCTGGCTGCCATAGCCCTTTTTCCCTCCTGTACAACACGGAGGTCGACGAGCCTCGTGAGGAGCACGACGAGGCTGGCTGCCGCAGCCATTATTCCCTCCTGTACAACACGGAGGTCGACGAGCCTCGCTCAGCGGGTCCTTCTGCTCCAGTGGTTTCTCGCTCCTCCCTGCCAGCAGTTAGAGCACTGCTCCAGGAGCTGCCCGCCATCATCTCCGCGGCTGCGACCCACAGGTGGCTAGCCGTTCCAGAACCGGCTCCCCTGAGGCGGATTAATTGGCGGGAATTTTTGGGGCAACACAGACGCGCTGTCCAGACCCCGTCTGGCCGCACTTCCCCGCTGCCATGAG